AGCTGTTATATTAGTATTTGTCTGAACTATTTCTGACAATTTTACAGTTAAGTCATCTTCTGTACTATTTCAAAAAATAGTATAGCAGCAATGAATTGGTGAATAAACAAATATATATATTGATACAAATATAAGTTAAATATAAGTACCTTGCATTATCTTGTGCAATTGAGGGTCGAATTGCAACAGGAGGAACAGGGACACGTTGCCATATAAATAACTCTGGACGAGAATTTTTTGGATCCAATCCAAGTAATTCACAATCCTTTTAAAAAGGTACAAGTTAAAACAATTTGGGAAATAAATAATTTAAAGGTTGCATTGAAAAAAATTTTTTATGGAAATTACCTCATCAGAAATCCCTTTGAATAGCTCCAGAACTTTTAAAGGATTTAAGTCATCCTGTGCTTTATGTAAATGAGATTTTAATTCAGGTGTATGTTCAATAGCATTTCCAAAGGCAATTTTAAATTTTTCATGTTCTTCTTGAGCTTTTTTTGATTTGTATTTTTCATGAATAATTTTTATTGCACCAACTTTTTTCACAGAACCATTAATTGCACCACAATATGGACATTCGACAGTCTTTTTACATAATGCATTTACAGATTTTTCGATTTTTTGCCTTGATGGTGCTTCTTTTGAGCTTCTTAGTCTCTTAAGGAATAATCTACGATCATTTTCCTCCAGTAATACACGACTACAAGTCTAATGATAATATTAACTAATTAAAGATATTTATCTAATAATCCCAAATTAAAATTTTTTTCAAATACCTTGCAAATATTTTGTAACATTTGTATAACAGCTTTGAAATAACCAATATGAAACACCGGTAAAATCAATTTAATATAACCGAAATGGCCAATGCATTGTGCCATTTTTTCACCGCAGGTTTCACATGACCTATCATGATCAGAGGTACCCTATAAGATACTTTGTTAATAAAATCTTTTAACAAAAAGGATTTTTGATAAAAGAGTTATTGTTTGCAACTTACTAAACGTGTATCTAAGACACCGTTTTCCATTGGAGCTCTATTATCATTGAATAGATCTCGATGTGTAATTGCCAAATGTGCATTTTTAACAATTTCTTGTGGAGAAAGTACACTAAATTGGATGTGTTTACTAAAGACAAAAGATCGAATTTATTTAGCAATTAATAACATGAAAATAAAATTAGAGGATTCAATGATAATTTACATTTTTCTTGGGGCTTGTTCAAGAACAAGTTCTTTCATTTTGATTTTTTGATTTTGCTGATCAAATTAGGTGTAATAGTAAATAAAAAAAACAAATCAAAATAATATGGCAGATACGCCAAAGATATCACAAGACACACCTAAAATTCAGCAACTTCGTTCTTATTTAAATCTTAGAGCTCGAATTACAATTTCAGATGGTCGTATATTTAATGGAACTTTTATGTGCATAGACAAATATAAAAATATAATTTTATCACAAACTGAAGAGTTTCGAAATGGTAAAATCTCTATCTAATTAAAAAAAATTTTTAAAAAGATTGAATATTAAAATTTTGTATTGTAATTTTGAAAATATGGAATGTTTAACAGAACAAAAAAGATTTGTTG